CCACACATTACCCCACAAACACAACACATCTGAAACCAACCTATTTGCACAACATCACACCACAATCAGCTCACTCTACACACACTCACTCCCACAAGGAGGTTCCAAATACATGCACAATACTCTTTCCTGGCCCTTTTGTCTCCTGGTAACCAACTTACGGAGACACCAGAGACAAGTTACAAGCCTACACAGCTAAAAATGCTTGCGCTGCACTGAACAAATACAGGCCATTTTTTTCATGCTAGATCTTTTCTGCAGAGCTCTGTGCATGGTCTGCCCTGGAAGAGCATTGAACCAACATTCTCACTTTGAGAGGGGGCGTGCTTGCCATTGGTGATGACAAAACACACCCCTTCTCAGTGGGCCAATGTGACTAAAAAATGCCCGGGCCAATTTTTTTTTCCAGTCTGGCCCTAGTGAGAGAGCTTGTCTGTAGTGAGCTTGTGTGTGTCATTGAGCTTGTAGTGAGCTTGCATGTTTCAGTGAGCTTGTAGTGAGCTTGTGCGTATCAGTGAGCTTGTAGTAAGCTTGTGTCAGTGAGCTTGTGTGTGTCAGTAAGCTTGTGTCTTTCAGTGAGCTTATAGCAAGTGTGTGTGTCATGGAGCTTGTAGTGAGCTGCTGTGTGTCAGTCAGCTTGTAGTAAGCTTGTGTGTGTCAGTGAGCTTGTGTGTTTCGGTGAGCTTGTAGTAAGCTTGTGTGTGTCAGTGAGCTTCTGTATGTCAGTGAGGTTGTGTATGGATCAGGGAGCTTGTGTGTCATTGAGCTATTTGGAGCTTGTGTGTGTCAGTGAGCTTGTGTGTGTCATTGAGCTTGTAGTGTGCTGTTTGAGTAAGTGAGCTTGTAGTAAGCTTGTGTGTCAGTGAGCTTGTAGTGAGCTTGTGTGTGTCAGTGAGCTTGCCGATAATAAGCTTGTGTGTGTTTCAGTAAACTTTTCTGTAGTGAGGTTGTGTATGGATCAGAGAGCTTGTGTGTGTGTGTGTGTCACTGAGCTTGTGTGCAGTGAGCTTTGTGTGTCAGTAAGCTTGCCTGTAGTAGGCTTGTTTGGATCAGGGAGCTTGTGTGGGTCAGTGAGCTTGTCTCTTGTAAGCTTGTGTGTGTCATTAAGCTTGTCAGTTGTGAGCCTGTGTATGGGGTAGGGAGCTTGTTGGTGATTGTGAGCTTGTATGTAGTGAGCTTGTGTGTGTCAGTAAGCTTGTCTGTTGTGAGCTTTTGTATGGACAGGGGGCTTGTGTGTGTTGGTGAGCTTATCTGTAGTGAGCTTGTCTGTGTCAGTGAGCTCGCCTGTAGTAAGCTTGTGTGGGTCAGAGAGCTTCTATGTGTCATTGAGCTTGTGTGGGTTAGAGAACTTCAGTGTTCATCATTAGTGAGCTTGTGTGGGTCAGAGAGGTTGTGTGTCAGTAAGCTTGTCTGTAGTGAGCTTGTGTGTGTCACTGAGCTTGTCTGTAGTGTGCTTAAATGAATGTTTGTCAGGGGTCTTGTGTGTGGCAGTAAACTTGTCTGTAGTAAGCTTGTGCATGGGTCAGAGAGGAATTGGTGTGTACCAGTGAGCTTGTTTGTGTCAGTGAGCCTGTCTGTAGTGAGCGTGTGAGTCAATGAGCTTTTCTGTAGTCAACTTGTGTGTGTGTGTGTGTATTGGATCCCAGTACTCCAGCTGAGTACATCCGTGAAGAATCTCCCAAGTCCCAAGCACCGTAGTGATTATAAGTGTAAATATAGCTCCCAATCCCCCAAACATGAGCCTAGACTTCATGAATGGGTAATATGATCTGTTTAATCCAGGACACAGAAAACACGCCCATGACACTCCCACACAAAACAGGGTAATCCTACCCCTGTGCCTGGGAGATAATTGAGTCAGGAACTGTACAAACTCAATTATCTCCAAGCACAGAAAAACATACAATTTACAAACACCCCAAAAGTACCTTTAAAACACATGAAAATCCCACAGTTACATCCCCTGATAGCCCCGATCTTGGTGATCAACATATCAAAAAATCATCCAGATCGGGTCAGGGGTTCGATATTTCAATGGAAGTCAATTATTTGACTGACCGTGCACATGGTCCTATGCCCAAAACAGTTCCATTAAATCAGGGCTAGCGGTCAGTCAACTTTGGTAACATAAAAATGAATAAGATACCGAAGGTAGTCTCTATTTGAACCATGGAGCTTGTACCCCTCATCCAGACGAACAATTCCACCAAACTGTGTTCTTCTAGGGTCTATAGTCCAAACGCAGGCGATGATGGAAGTCCAGCGGTGTTTGGGAGTTTCAGTGTCTGATTATAGTTCCATGAACTCGACGACCAAGCACCGCTGCCTGCGTTCATGCGAACCTCGTGGTTGTTCATACGAACTGCGGCCACCCAGAACTAACAATCAGAACACTGAGGTGAGAACCATTCCAAAGTGTTAATAGGGGTTAGCAAGCTCCCGGGCGGTCCCTGGTTTGTGCGGTTGTTCGGTTTCCGAACGGTACAAAAAAATCCAACAAACCAAGTCTTTTTGCCAGCTTTTTCTATGGCCCATAGTCAGTGGGCAGGAGGCTAGCCTCCACACTCCTCCAGGAGCCCGTGGCGAACGTTCTGGCAAAGGGGCGTTTGTCGCAGTGTGCCTTTGAGCTTGTGTGATTTATTAATGTGGAACATGCTTTTTAATATATATTTGATGAAATTATACAATTGACACACTGATGCCGATATGCTGATATCGGCATGGAGGATTGCCCTGCCTAAAGAATTTTCCCCAAGCAGAGCCAATCACAACAGACAGGGAGCGGCCTGGAGGGTGGGTGTTACAGCACTGTAACACCCATGGATTATCTGGAGCGAGGGACTACAGGTAAGAAAAAATATAACGGCTCCCAAATCACATAGATATAAAAAATACAAGCACACTTTGTGACACAATGAATTAGAGGGCTGGAATAATTTCTTTTCCAGGGCTGCTTTCTGCTTACAATCTGGCCCTGCAGTATGGGCAGGGTTA